AGCTTACCGTACATCAGACATTTTTCCAAATCCCAAAGGCTTGATGACAGCCTTGTCTTCTGATCACTCTCGCCCGTACTCTCTCTTTCTCTCCACCATTTTAATTGAGTAAAGTCTGACACACTGTGCCACACGTCTGCAACTGATGTGCGTCTATGCGTTCTTCTCCGCTTTCCCACTCTGCCAACCACCGTTTGTCGTTCTTTAATTTCTCTCTTTTTCCCTCATTCCCTTCACTCACCGTTGACTCGTTCCACTTTCGCCACTCTTTTTCGCTGCGCTCCAGCTGAACAGGCAGAGTGAGTGAGCCGAGTGCGTGTTTGGCATTTTCAGCTTTTTTCAGCTACCTTTTGGAGTGCCGTTTGAGCACTGTAGTCGCTCTTCTCTTTCCCATCCTTCTTTCCATTCCGTCAGGCGTACAAGGGTGTTGTAAATGATGGACCCCTGCGAGTGCTTGGACCTCCTCAACTCCCAGGCCCTAATTGGCCATATTCTCAACTTCGTCAACAGCCAGACGGAATGCACCGACAGTCACTGCTTCACTCGCGATGGTAAGCCTCAATGTCCTCCACTCTTTCACTCCTTCTCCTATTTCTCACCAATCTGCGTTATTTAGAAGGACCACTCAGCGAGCGACTTGACCCTTCGTCGAGCCTTGTCACCATCGGCGTCGCGTTTGTCGCTTTGATAATGTTGGTGGTCATCCTCCCGATGAATGTTCGCCGTCGCCGCCGACATACGACTGATAAGAAGAACGGAGAAGGACCCAACGGTCGAGGCAATGGCGGCAATGGACCCAACTTGGCACTGTGATGAGCTACTTCCACCGGATAACTCGACCTAAAGTATTTTGTCATTGTTCTAACAAACTGTTACTCATTCTCTTTGTTTTGCACTTTGTGCAACATTTCCATATAAGAATAAAGTTTCAATCTTTTTAATCTCTTAAAATGATGATGATGTTCAGAGAATGTTCAGTTGGTTTAAATCAGTGGGGTAAGATCTTTAGAATTAGTGATGATTGTGTATAATAAATGCAGTTCAGTCTGTTTCAACAGGTTCACTTTCCTTCTCAAATCGCTTTCTGCACTTGAGAATAGAATCTTTTAACTTTCCGCTGTACGTTCCAGTTGAGTCGGGGAGATTCTCAAAGTAGATCAGCTCGCCCATACCAACTGCAAAATTTGCCATTGGCGGCAGGTTTGGCCTGATTGACTTTGGCAATGGAGCACATGTGGAGATTACAGTGACCTTGCGATCACCAGTAGAAGAGGAATTATCATTGTTGTCCTCTTGAATTTCTTCAGTGCTTGTTTTTGATTCACTGTTTGTTTCATCAACAGTGGATAATTCACCGCTTTCATCCTTTTCACCGTTGACTTCCAGACTATCATCTGCAGTCGAGTCTTGCTCTAGAGAAATGTCATTCACCTCTGCATCCATTTGCTGAACACTTTCAGGTGACGAACGTCCGGAGCCAGCTAGAATAAATGAAACTTTTTATGTTTATGGCAATGTTTGATTTCACAGATTATCTTACTTGAAATATCAAGTTTCGATCGCTTGTACGGCACAGGTTCAATCATTTTCATTGATTTTACAGCTTCACTCAGCTGCTGATTCATAATAAGTGGCGGCATACCGAGAATTAGCCAGTCCTGTACAAAAAGAGAATTTGAATTAAAATGTTATCAAATTGAAAGCATCAATTCTTACATCTTTGACATTATCGGGAATAGGTGCATTAAAACCAGGAAACTCGATTAGGGAGTCTTTGTTGTACTGTTGTGAGGGCAGTTGCGTCTCTTTGATTTCTCCTTCTTCAGTCAGAGTATTGCTGTTGTCAGTTGTTGATGGGCCAGCAGATCCGTCGATGATGTTTAGTGTCGACATTTCCGCATCTTTCATCCAGGCGGGTGGATAGCCGAGAATACGCATTCTGTAGATCCACACCGGTAGCATATCGTCTTCCAGATGGAGGGCTTTTCTAAGCTCAGTGCTGAAATACACACGATAAGTTGTACAATCAAGAAAAGTGTTTGAGAATCTGAAGCAACTCACCTTAATTTGCCCACTGGTGTTTTCTCTTTAAAAGCAAGCTCCTGGAAATACCGTTTTCTGCAAATGTAAAATTGAAAAATCAGTCAATGAAACTTCAGAATGACTCCGCGCACCTATTCATGTTTCAAGATGAAAGTCTAGAGAAAGAGAATTATCTTTAATGCTCCCGATCATACGACCATGTGCTGCTAAAAATGGCTGGCGCCCGAAGATTTTTAGAATCACAAAAAAGATAAATAAATAGTAAACACCATTTCTACCTAGGGAACGTCATTCGCTGCAGGAGCCAGAAGAAGGCGTGGAAAGATGCACTGCGGAAAGTAGGCACTGCAGCGCACTGAATAGTTACACATCAACAAAACAGGCACCTCCTTTTGCTGTGTGAAGCAGAAAGTGCGCTACTATTTCAACCGAATTGGGTGCCAAATAGAGGCAAGAACCGGCAAAAAGTTTCTACTGATTCTGTATTTCCAACCAGCCTGGTTGAACTAGAGACAGTAGCACTGGCTGCCACTGTCAGCGCGCAACGAAGGTAAAGTTGGGACTGTGAGTCAGCCGAAGCTGGCGCCACCGCGAGCATCCGATGCTCCCGTACCGTCATCTACGACAATCTACGGCATGAGATTTTTCAGCTGCAATTTCTGCCTGTCTGCGTGTCGGCACTCTTTTTCTGTCCGATCCAATTTGCTGCTGCTTCTTTGCATCATTTGCTTCTGTTACCCGCTAAACCCTGTTTATCAGTGAAAGAAAATACACCGCCAACTGAAGACAAAGATTATCCGTAAGTAAACTGTGATAGTAAAGTGGCGATTGGCGCACATTTTCAGACATTGCGCCTGTCTTCTAACAGCGCCTAACCGGCGTTTTCTTTGCCTCTAACTTGCCTTTATTTGTTTTTTAGAATCATGAGTGGACGATTCTTCAAGCATCTCTCCGACACGGAGTCGGAAAGTGAGGAGTCTGAGGAGGAGGTGATCACCGCCAAGGCACCAGCTCAGGCGTAAGTTTTGTTGTTATCTGTCAAAGTGTGTGTGTGTGTATTTACAGTATACTTTTCACATCTCCAGGAACTACTCCTTCAGCGAAGACGAAGAGGAAACCAAGCGCGTGGTGCGAACCGCCAAAGAAAAGCACTACGAGGAACTGAATAACATTATCAAGTTGATTAAAAACCACAAAAAGATCAAGGATGTCTCGAAGCTGCTCAGTTGCTTTGAAGACCTGACGAAGGCGTACCAGAAAGCAAAGGGCGCCGTCTCTCGGGAGGACGGTGGAAAGCCGCCCAAGTTTTACATCAAGACCCTAGCTGAGATGGAGGACTTTTGCAATGAGAACTGGGAAGACCGCAAAAACATGAACAAGAACAACTCAAAGTCACTGTCGACAATGCGCCAGAAGCTGCGCAAATACAACAAGGACTTTGAAACGGAAATCAAAGCTTACCGCGAGAACCCTGACGCCGTTGAAGAGGAGAAGGACACAGACGGCGAGGCTAGCGACTCTGACGATTCCGATGATGACGCCCCCGGCGAGGGTGCTCGAGCAAAGTCTGTGGAAGACGATGCCACAACTGCGCGCACAAAAACTGTCAGCATCACATCAAAGGATGAGGGCAGTGATGATGATGACGACGATGACAGCATGTGGGACATGTCCTCGGACGATTCCAGCTCCTCTGACGACGAGGACTACGGCGGCAACCTGGCGGCAAAGTTCTTGAAGAAGGACACTGACAAGGATAAGGAGAGCAAGAAGCGCGAGAAAAAGGTGAAGGAAGTGAAAGACCGCCGAAAGGTGAAGGATGACGA